CACAGTCTGTCCCCCAATGACGGCCACGTCACTGACGTGAGACTCACGCAGTCTGTTCCATAATGAAGGCCCTGCCACTGACATAAGGCTCATGCAGTCTGTCCCGCAATGACGGCCCTGCCACTAATGTGAGACTAACGCAGTCTGTTCCATAATGACAGCCACGCCGCTGATGTAAGGCTCACGTAGTCTGTCCCAAAATGACGGCCAAGCCGTCATCACAGAATAAGCTTAATAAGAAATCAGTGAGCTCGGTGCCAGCCTGCCAGCTGTCTACCTCACTGGTTGCTGGGTTTGTCTGGGCACTGCTCTTTTTAAGCAATCAACTGCAATCAATACTGGACTACAAGGTCCTTAACAGCTACATGAGAAAAAGACCACTTTGAGGCACCACCGTAACTGAAGAGCAATTAAATGCTGATTTAGCAAAAGCCCAAGGAAGGAGAAGAGCAGCACCTTTAGCATGACAGCTGTTGGGATCTGCACTGTGAGACCTACTCCACCTACTGCTAGGCATCTTCTGAGCAGCCCCCCCAAAATGCCTCCTACCTTCTCCGTCCTCGACGGGCTCTTCCTCATTGCAGCTGTCCCCTGACACCTCCATCTCCTCCTCGTCAGCAGCTGAGGGGGTGTTGACCCCTTCGCTTGGGACCGTCTTGCGGCTGCGCCGGGCCTTTCGTTCACGTTCCTGTTGCAAGGGTAAGAGTCAGGTGGGGGCAGCTTTTGGCAGAGGGCATTCTGTTCTGCTCCCCCTGCCGACAGAATGACCCGATGACATGTCTGCTCATGTGGCACCATGTGGCCGGGATGATGAGCAGAGGAGGAGCACTCTTTCGGAGAGCTCCTGTCACACAAACGCTGCTGCTCCATGCCTTCTATTCTCCAGCTGGCTGTTTAGTATATCAGTGCTATTTTTCTCACTTTTGTACTTGCTGAAAAAAGCTTGAATACACATGGACTCGATAACTGTCCTTAACTGACTGCATACTAGGCGAGAATGTAATCAGAGTGAGCATGCTGCCTCAGGAATAATGCATCAAAGCATTGCATTCAATCCCACATTTACAACGGCCAGCTGAGCCCGATGAGAACGGCAGACCCACGTTTGGCCGACAGCTGAAGGCAGGACTTTTACCGATTTCATTTTGTGCTGCTGCAGTATTTCGTCCAACTTCTGCCGCTTCTTGTAGTTGAAGTAGAAATTCTTGCACTGGGACACGGTTTTGGACCCCACCATCTTGGCGATGGATGACCAGTTCCGCCCATAAAGTAGAAGTGCTGGGGGGGAGAGAACAGATCTGTGGCTGTGGATAACCAGGTGGACTTTCCTGCAAGCTTGTAGATCTTTCTGTGAGCATGCGGACCTTCCTATGCTCAGGGGGGCCTCCCTGAAAGCAAGTGGACCTTCCTGCGAGCAGGCAGACCTCCTTACAAGCAGACAAACCTCCCTGCAAGCAGTCTCTTGCTTGGTTAAAACCTGCAACACTCCCACAGGTGATGAGAAAGCAAATGAGAGCCCCAGTGACACAAGAAGCTGACTAAAAGACACCCTGGCTTGTGCGATGCACCAAATTGTCACAACACTCTGCCATCCCTCCTTCCCCTGCCCCCCACCCCGAGAAGCCTGCTGCAATACCTGAAACCCCACTGATCTCATAATCACATTATCTGAAGCAAAATCTCATTGAGAACCTTTAATTAAAGCTGATCTGACTAAAAGGTACAGCAGCAGGGTCTCTCTTGGAGTAAGAAACAGCACAGGTAACTCCTGTCCTGCTCTTTTCTTGATTGGCTGGGGCTACCACAGATGGGCCACCCCATTGGCCAAGATCGTCACAGACGGGCCACCCCATTGGCTAAATCAATCACAGATGGGCCGCTCCACTGTTTACTGACGCAACACTTTCTCTCTAATGGGGTTCAAAGCGGAATGTCTCTCAAAACTGCTTCCAGTTGCTGTGAACAACCCAGAAGCGCCAGAGCAAAGGGGTGGCAGTTTCCACTTGCATGTCCTCTTGGGCTCTAAAGCTGCAGAGCAGATTTTATGGGCCATGGACAGCAGAGAGCGGCAGTCGTTCCTGCCCCCAAGCAGGGAGGTGACAGCGGCACCAAGAACTCCTCATTTTAGCATTCAGCACATTAGAAGAAAACAGGGAATGATCTCTCTCGAAAAGGAACAAGGCAGACAAGTTCAGAAAACCGCTCATGGAAAGCCCATTACCATTCAAAACCAGCCATTTTCGCCAGAGCAGGACCTGTCACAGCACTACAAGCAAAACCAAGAATGAAATCCAAGGGTGCATCCTGGTACCCCTGCACTACTAGCGTTTAGCATAGACAGGCAAACACAGCAGCTATCAACTCTGGCTATCCTGTGCAGGAAATGCAGAATTTACAAGAAATTCCCAGTGATGCCACACTGTTTCCAACACACACACGGACACAAGCAGACTGTCAGCGAACACTAACACTATTTACGTTTCATTTCACAAAGGCCAGGCAACCACAGGAGACACGCAAAGGAGACATCTCCTCACCAGAGCTGATAAATGAAACAGAATTTTTATATATATATATATATAGTTAGTTTTCCACTGTTTTCACACTGATTAAGAAAAAGGCAAACCCCCCCCCCCCTCCACGCCACCAAAATCACCTCCATGGGCGAGCGGGCGGGCGGTCTCTCCTGGTGATGGACAAGCAGAGGGAGAGTCCAGCACTCTGTAATCCACTGGCCTCCCTGCAGAGTCACTTCCTCTGCACCTCCCACCTCCAAGGAAGTACTGTAGCAGAGGGGTCTCCACTGCCCCCTGTCTCTGCCCCCGCCCCCCCCCCCTCACCACGTGAAAGCCATGAGAGAATGGCCCTCACAGCAAGCGGCAAAGATATGAGAGGCGGCTGAACAAGTAGTCTCTTTGCTCTCTTCTTATTTCCCTCGGTCTAACCTTCTCTCCCTCTCTACCGAAACAGTCGCAGTTAAGCACACGCACGCGCACACGCACACACACACACACGCACGCGCACACACACACAAACACACACAGGAAGGAAGAGCCAGCCAAGGAGAGAGGGAGAAAGCAAAAGAGCCTGAAACTTAGGGCACTGGAGGCTGTTCCTCTCCGTCTTACTGACCTGCTTCTTATTCTGTCTGAATGTGACCCCTGGACGAAGCTGCAGCAGGGTGATGACAGAAAGAGGGAGGGAGCGAGAGAGAGAAAGAGAAGGAGGCAAAGAGGGAGGGAGAGAGAGAGTGATAGGGATAGGTGCAAGGCCTGCCAAACCTTCTGAGGGCCGCGCCAATGTGGGCCAGTGCCAGCAGCCCCGTCTGCCAAGCTGTCGCCCAGGTCCTGCGTCACCGATTAGCTGGCGCCCAGCGAGTGGCCCTCCAGCCTACCCTCCCCTCACCTTCATCACCCTCATCATCCTCATCAACTAGCAAATCAGGGGGTGCAGCGAGTCATTTGAAATACATACAAAAAAAAATTGACGGCAGGCAGGACAGGAGGGAGCTGTCTGCCCATCTCAGCCAGGCCAAGCCAGGGCACCGAGACCCACTGCTGTTGGGAGAAATTGGCAGAGCCAACGCGCAGGTCCCTGACGCACGAGCTACACACGGTGGGTGGGACAAAAGGGCGGAGCCAACACGCAGACCCCTGACACACGAGCTCCATGCGGTTTGCGGGAGAAAGGGGCGGAGCCAACGCGAAAGCTCCTGATGCACAGGCTGCACACGGCGGGCAGCAGAAACGGCAGCCAGCATGCAGGGTTGTGCTGTCCCTAAGGCCCCCATCCTCTGCCCTCTAACTTCACAGGGAGACCTTTAACCCAGATTCTTCCCCCCCAAAACACACACAGAGAAACTCCCACAGACACACAAGTTTGTATTCATATTTTTGTGGGGACTGTCCTTTCAAATCCCTAATACCAGCTATGACAACAATAACCGCTATCCAGCTCTAACCTTAACCATAAGTAACCAAAATACATATAAGACCTTTGGCATATAAACATAATATATTCATGACCCACTGACACACACACACACACACACACATCCATGGATTTACAGAATGTGTGTTTTCAGCATGTATTACCCTTCAGATGCTTCGGACAAAACACCAAGCAGCCATTTTACCATCATGTTGAGCCTTTCTCCAGGCGGCACCACGCTGGGGTGTGCTGCCCCTTACAGGCCAGGTATGAGTGTGCGGGCGACAGGCAATTGTCAGCAAGGCCCACGGCCGGGTGAGACCTGGCCCATGCTCAGCATGTGTCCGGCCTGCACAATGCCACACTGCTTACCAGCACCAGGCCTAGAGCGACTTCACAGCACTCAGTGGTAGCAGCTTACGTGCTGAGCCCTTGCCGGGCTTTTGCCATGTGACAACGAGGAAGTCCCAAAGTAAAGAGGAACAAAACAAAAGAGGATCAAGCTACAGCGTTAGAGCCTCTCACTTCCTGAGAGGCCTCATGCAGAGTTTTCAGTGCTAAAGGAGCCGGGGCCGGTTGCCCCGGGCACGGAGAAGACCGGCATCTCTCAGCAAGGTCAAGGCTGACACAGCACCAAAAATCAGCCACATGCCATATTCAGAGCCTCCAGCAATCCGGAGCAGCGACCAAAGGAGCTGAGCAACAAACGACCTCCGAAGGAAGCTGGAGTGCAGTCTGAGCCACAGCAGGGCCGCCGTTCGGCAAGACCCTGTGATGGCAGCAGCAGCCGAGAGCAAACCAGGAATTCACAAGCCCGGCCACAGAAAAATGGGGGGGGTGGGGGGGGAGTGGGGGGAGATGGGACAAAGTCAGATGCACACTCACCCTATCACCCTGCCGTCAGACGCACATGGGCAACTCACCTTTTTTGGCAGTTTCCATTTCCTCCTCGGTCCAGCGAGAGCTCTCATTCATCTCAAGATTGGCTGAAACAGAAGTAGAACCACATAAGGGCGGGTACAAAAGAAGCGGGGGAGGGGGGGGGGAGTGGCAGAGTGTGAAGCAGGGCAGGGTGCATGCGGCCTCCTGTCTATGCAGCTGCTGCTAACAGACCAGCTGGGATGTTTGTTTAAGCAGAAGGAAGCCGGAAGCTCACAGAGGCGCCGCTTAATCATTACCCAGCAGAGGTTTGACTTGGCCTCAGAGCAGCTGGGGGCCAGTGTTCATCTTATGGGCCACTACGTGCTAATCTAAGAATCGGCACTGGGGTTTTCTTGCGAAGTTTCAAAAACCAGAAGTCTTGTGTGTAGAGGAACTGCAGTTTGAGGCTATGTTTCTTTAATTATCCTATATGCAGTTTGTTCAGGCTTTAGTGATGTACCTGTGTCAAATGAAGTACATTTACGCCCCCAGGTGGACAAAAGGTGCAAGTGCTACTGAGTTATCTGAGCGTGACTGACAAAGAACCAGTCAAAGCCTGAGATTTCAGTGAGCCATGGGGGCCTGTGACAGACATGCTGGAAGCTGCTGGGGTACTTCAGAGGCCCCAGGTGAAATAGTCATTTAAACGAGGAAATCGAATAGCTTGGTGACCCAAGAGATGTACATGTATATGTCTCTGTGCTGGGGCTCATGAGCAGGGGGCCACTGACCGGGCAGGGCCTGAGCGAGAGGCTGTGATTAGGGGGGGTCATTTGCAGGGGCCAATGACCAGGGGGGCTGTGAGCAGGGGGCCCATGAACTGGTGGGCGTGAGCAGGGGGGCAAGTGAGCAGGGGGGCCGTATGCAGGGGCCAGTGAGCAGGGGGGCCGTATGCAGGGGCCAGTGTGCAGAGGGACTGAATGCAGGGGCCAGTGAGCAGGGGGTCCGTGTGCAAGGGGGCCAGTGAGCAGGGGGCCTGTGTACAAGGGGGCCCATGTGCAAGGGGGCCATAAGTTGGGGGGGCCAGTGAGCAGGGGGGGGGCAGTGAGCCAGTGGGGCCATGAGCTGGTGGCCAATGAGCAGGGGAGCCAATGAGCAGGGGGGGCATATGCAGGAGGGCCATGAGCATGCAGCCAATGAGCAGAGGAACAGTGAGCAGGGGGCCAATGAGCAGGGAGACCATGGTGGACACTCACCCAGCTCGCTGCTATGGTGGGGGGTGCCGCTCTCCTCTGCCTCGTTGGCCATGGAGCGTGTGATCCGGCCCTTGCGGCGGCCCTGGCTGTTGGCCGTGCGCCTGCCCTTGAAGGCCACTGCTGGCTCCTTCTCTTCACCATCTTCTCCGGAGGTGTCATCCCTGGGGTGGGGGAGGGGGGAGGCTGTCACATGGTGTCTGAGCTGCAGCCACTCTCCCTGAGCCAGTGTAGCACCCGTAGAGCTGGACACAGTGAAGATTGAGGAGCTTTTGCATATCAATAGCAAAGTGTCAGCTAGCATGACAGTCAGGGACAGAACCTACAAGTTTGGTAGATCAAGTCCTGGAGGAGGCTCCGCTGTGGCACCTCATAACCATGCAGCTGCATCAGGGACATGTGGATGTGATGTTATTCAGCTGTCATGCTGCACTGGACCCAACGTCATCATACAGAATCACACCATTATTATGTGACTCTCGCCTAGCCAGTCTGACAGCTGCCTGAAAGGGTTTGTGCAGTAAGTCCTTTCAGGCAGCACACAACTGTGTGTCACAAAGCCGCTTCACAGCTCAAAACTCCATAGCTCATACCTCCATTCTGGTACAAACTTCTTGAATATTTAAAATTGTTATGTAAATTGTCTACTGATTTGCGATGGTGGCGCTGGAGGTAGTGCTACCGTTTGGCAACCGGAGGGCTGCAAGTTCGAGCCCTGGCTCCTCCTGACCCCATTGAACTGTCCTTGAGCAAGACACTGAACCCGGTAGAGCAGGTTGGCACCTTGCGTGGCAGCCTCCACCACCAATGGGTGAATGTGAGGCAAAAACTGTAAAGTGCTTTGAGTGCTCGAAAGAGTAGCAAAAATGCGCTATATAAATGCAATCCATTTACCATTTCCATAGCTAATGACTAAGTCATCAGAGACTTTCACACCAAAGTTCCAGAACCTTGTTCATGGTTCTGACTTCCTGAGCAGTCTCAACTGGGAACTTTTGCAGCTCCTGGCCACTTGTGTGTGTCGCTTTCTGACCGCACAACAGGAATGGGGACCTTTATGCTAAATTAGTACAGGAGACAAAACCTCATAGGACAAACTTCACACATAATTTTACATGAATCTACACCATCAAACCCAAAACAATGGAGGAAAAATGTCATCTAGTTAATCATTTGTTCGTTACTGGGGGGATCGATCATGATGAAAACGGGCCAGACCCTTTCACTTGTACTACTTTTATTATTCTTAATAAATCTGGCTGGCAGATTGATCTGCATAAAGAATGATGTAACATTATTCCGCTAAGCGCTGGCAACTTTCACCACCAGCACCAGCAGTATTCGACAAAAGTATACTGGTTAGCAATCAAATTTTCCAGTGCAGACATATACAAGACACAAGCAAAAAGTCACTCAAAGATGCATTAAATGTAACTGCAGTACAAAAATAATTATATGTGCTCCATTTTGCTCCACCTTTTCTTCCGTACTTCAGCCTAACTTCCATATTAGCGGCAGTGCTTGTGGTCAGCCAATCAGCAAGCTATTGCTGTAAAGGCCTCCTTGGCAGCTCTTGTTCTGGAGTACGGACTATAAAAGGGTTCTGGAACTGCCTCCAAGGAACTACAATCGGGTCGAATATAACAAGTTATATTATAAAGGTTCCAGAAAATAATAAGTGAATAAGCATCTTCCTGAAAGATAGATCCATCCTACTATAGATAGACCAAATCATAGATTGACCAAAAGGGAGTCCAATACAGCAACCCAAGAACACCAAGAGTAAATCCTAGGAAAATCAAGCCTTCTTGGGGAGGTGAAAGACAACAGGTACTGACACACAGGGATCCATGTCACTGCCCAAAATGGGTCGCTAAATGAACAGATGGCAACGGCTAACATTCATGCAGCTTCAAGGGCCTTTCAGGTCAGAAGATGTGACAATAGCGTGCTTCAATCATTTTAAACAAAATGTACAAAGTGTCAGAACATCGACAATTCCAGAGCATCAGCTGAAGGATGCCAAAGATTATTCACTAATAAAGGTGCTTGAATGTTCAATACTTCACTTAATGAAATATGTAAGTATTTAAAATGAAATATCTTACATTTTGTATTTAGATAAGCTTCAAAAAGAATATCATGACAAGTATTAAATATTGCATTATGTATGTGTCAGTCGTATAGTCATAAAATATCTCACTGGCCACACATAGAAAGGAAAACAAAAAATACTAACAACTAAAATGGAACTTGGGTGAAACAGAGAGCTGAGCAAAGACAGAGGTGGAACTGATGGACACATTCAGCATTCCCACACCTCAGAAGGCAGAAGTTCCTCAGGCAGCCTGGAATCTGGAGCCATCCCCTGCAAGCTTCTCAAAAGCCCTTCCTCAATGACAACAGACTCCATTAATGCCTTCCCTGGAACCAAAAACCTCTCTGCTTCATGGGCCCGGCATCCACCACGGGACCATCTCACTTGATGCCATCTATGTTGGCTGACTGGCTTCTTCTCAGAAACCAATAAGAACAAAGTCTTCATTTCAGACTGTGGGAATCCACAGATCTGCCCAAATTTTGCAGTTGGATGCTGTGACTGATATTAAAAAGGTGTGCAGACAAACCATGGCAGCTCTAAACACTCTGGCAGCCTGATAAATCACTGACAGTCCACATGGTTCCCGTGGTTGGCTGAGTGACATCACCACTGGGCCCTTGAGGGAGGCCTTTACCCCAGTTGCACCAGGGATATGGTACAGGAACAGAGCATATTCACTACAGTGGCTCACTCTACATCAGAGGCAGAGTGGCTGGCTGCTTCCCTCATGTCCCAGCTGACTTCAGTGTAGCACTGCGACCTCAGAGAGGGACTCTCCTGTCGCTTGTGGTAACTTATCCAGCTTACCCAGAATGCAAAGTGACAGCTATATGCCACTGAGGCCTGAACCAGACATCCCAAAATCTCTGGCCAGCTGCTTGCAGTAGAACTTACTTCAGGCCATCCTCCTTGTCCTCTCCCTCAATCTTCTCCTCCTCCCGCTCTCCTTCCTTTTCTTTGTCTTTTTCTTCCTTCTCCTCCTGGCTCCGGTTGACCTGTTGCTGTTGCTGTTGCTGTTGCTGCTGCTGCTGCTGCTGTTGCTGCTGCTGCTGCTGCTGACAGAATGAGGGGGGAGAGGGGGGTATGGGGGTGTTCAGACTAGGGGTGCGACGGTACAGGTATCCCACAATACCGGGGTACGTACCTCGGTATTTGGGCCACGGTTTCGGTTCAGTTTAAAACACAACACTACAAATAATAACACAACAAAACAAATAATAAACTGCCTCTTATTTATGTATAAAATATGTATACATGTATAAAATTCAAACTTCAAATTCAAAATGTAAACAAAAAGTGCCTCTTAAAGTGCTCTAAACACAACACAGTAGTCAGAGTAAACATACTTTCAGAAATATGTATACATGTATAAAATTCAAACTTACAAAATGTAAACAAAAACACTTTAAAAAATGTTAAGGTGCTCTAAACACGCTATATTCCACTCGAGGCTCTGTGCTTGAGCCAAATCGTCTTCGATGGCTTTGCGCGCTTTGTCATAGAGGTCGGGAATTACGTCGTCGCTGAAATGTGTACGGCAGGGCACAACATAACGTGGGTCGAGCGTTTTAATTAAGTGACGAAACCCCGCATCTTCGACAACAGAAAAGGGTTGCAAATCTTTAGCAATGAATGTTCCCACTGCACGGGTTATTTTCTTATGTTAATCGGATGTGGCAGGGTATGTCTGTTAATTGAAAAGCTTTTTCGATAGACACTTGTTTACCTGCAGTTACCTTTTCGTCTGTCCTCCGTTCAGGAACCGTGCTCGTGTTTCCATTAGCGTATGGGACACGTGTTAGGCAATGTTTACAAACAGTGGCATTTCTATTAACTGTTTTGACTCCCTGGTCGTGGTATTCTACAGCGAACCCGAAAAAATTCCATACTGGAGATTTGTACGAAGCCGGTGCTTCTTCAAACTTCTGCCTCTCAACTGTTCCGCTAGTGCTGGCCATGCTTGTTTGTTTTTCTTTTTTCCGCGTCTGTGTACCGAGCTGCGAGCTCGGCTCCAGTTACGTCAGTGTGAGAGAGGGCGAGTGGGTGGAGCCACAACAATGATTGGATATTAATGGTCACTTCCCGTCGGACGCCTCTTTTATGAGGTTGATGTCGGATTGGCAGCTTACACAATTCTTTTTTTTTTTAAATCTTTAAAAATGTTTATTTTGTTAAATGTATTAATAGTTATAAATGTAATTACATGTGTTCGATTTAGAGAACACCATATCATGACCGTAAACAGTATCCTAGCATGCAATATCAGATTTTTACCAGACTTGTTAGTGTCTTTGGTTTGTTTGTAGTTTGCCTCTCGAAAAAAGAATATCACTATGAATGTGCTAAAATATTTTATAAAGCTTTTAATGTGGTTTGACTAGTTCGTGTTTCTTATTTGTCTCTCAGAAAAAACAAACAATCTCACTCCAAATCTGCTAAAATATAAAGCAACAACACACAGCAGCGTGTTCATGGAGGCAGCCATGTTTGTTCCAAGATGTGGGTAGCTCCAACGGGAGATTGTCGGACGTGATGTCACAACTCGGAATTTCCGAATTCCGAGAGAAAAACTAACGGACAATAACTCACGGTGGAGGGCTTTCGCTCATTGGCGCTTACTGGTTAACAGTAGCCTGATAAGCATTAAGTGCCATTTTCAAAAGGAAGTGCAAAATCGAAATACCGCGGTACACAAGGTCGTACCGGACCGTGCAGCGCGTACCGAACGGTCCAGTATTTTACCAAGTTGCATCCCTAGTTCAGACGGGTTCTCAAAAATGCTGGGTATGGGGGGAGAGAGAGGAGTATGGGTGTGCTCAGATGGGCTATCAGGAATCCCAGGTATGGGGGAGGAGAGAGGGGTATGGGGGTGCTCAGATGGGCTATCAGGAATCCCGGGTATGGGGGAGGAGAGAGGGGTATGGGGGTGCTCAGATGGGCTATCGGGAATCCCGGGTATGGGGGAGGAGAGAAGGGTATGAGGGTGCTCAGACAGGCTGTCAGGAACCCCAGGTATGGGGGGGATAGGGGCTCTCAGGAAGACAGATGCAGGGTGTTCCTGTCTGCTGCAGCCTACACAGGCACATTATGAGACAAACACAGTATACTCATCGCCTGGGGGTGGGGGAGGGGGGCAACAATGAATTCAGCCTCATACTATGCATCTGGATTCTGGGGGCCTGAAACAGCCTCACTGCCAGGCTGCCACTCGTACCTCCTGTGTGTCACCCAAAGCAAAACCCCATCCTGGTTTCTGCATCCCGGAGCAGGCGCTTGGTGGACAGGCCTGCACAAAGCCCCGCTCAGTCCCTCCTGCTCTTCTCCTCTGTCTTCTTTTCGGAAACTCCCTAAATCCTGCTGCACTCTGAGGCTTGAACATGACTGTGGTGTCCTGGCTACAATGTTGCAATTTACAATTAATCACGTACAAACAAGAGAGGAAGGAAGAGATTGAGGAGCACAAAGGAATTAAAGTGTTGTCAGTATCTAAGCTTCTTTTTCAGACCAGACCTAGTGGGGGGAAGGGTCGTTGCTGGATCAGAGCTACCTTCCAGACCCTCAGCAGTGACTTCCTGTTCCCTTCTAGTTCATTACCTGTGGCTGCACTTTCCCTACAAACGCAACAAAATCGATCAATGGAGCACATTCGGGGAGAAATACTGTGCAAAACGAATTGTGGTTGAGAGACAGACAGACAAAAGACGGGAAAAAGGACGACAGATGGAGGTGGCTGGGATGAAGCGGTGGCCCAAAGGAGCAGCCGTGCCAGTGAGGTATGAAGCGGTGGCCCAAAGG